ACTAGGCATAATGTCACTTTTCAAGATACGTGATACCCGTGCGGTTAGGAAACCACCAAAGTCCTAACGTTCAGTAATAACGGAGGTTAAATATCATTATGCTCGATTAACGTTACATTTTGCATAGGTGGCACTCGAACAGCATGGCACTCTGGCTTGTGTTGTCTTAAAGGCCATGTAGTCTGTTTCAATAGATGACGCATCACCACGATGATGCGGCGACCTTAGTACAATTAATGTTCGCGCGTTGTTCCAAGGCTGACATTTCGAGATCAGGTCTTGTTGATGACGATAGATGAATAAATTGTGTTCTATTCTAGCCACCCAAGGATGGCAATTGTGTGAAGAGAGAAATCTTACTGCCCTCGCGTATAAAATATAAAATCTAGGAGTAATACTGGTACAGATGAGCTTTTGCGTAAGTGGGACGTGGAGTGGGAGCTACACCTGTCGCCGTCTTGATTTTGATTCAACTAGAAGTAAAGCAAGGATCTGATGGAGGACCCAGGACGCCCCTCCCACTAATTCTGAAGCTTACCCTGGTTATCGTAACTGGAAAGCTGTAATTCCAATCAGCATCGATAATCCATCACGTATTGTGGGCTTAGACTACGGTAGGACATTTGTCGGAAAGAAATACATGTCTGATTTTCTACCTTGAAATTTCTTACCTTACAGTGTGATAAGAGATAAAGATATAACTGTTTGAGCTATCAGTCTTCTACCCAAAATGTTACTAACGATGCAGCCATAAGATGTTTTTTGAAGGGCATTTACAGGCTGAGGACATCTCAACTGAAACATAGATACTATGGTTCTTCTCAATCAGCCAAAGGGGTTGCTGGTAAGCTCTGTAGATATTTGGATGAGGAAATCAGCAACACTGCTAGCTCTAACCTCAGGTCAGAGTGGACAAACTAATTGAAACAGACAACATCCGGATTGGGTTGAATAATATTGAGTTGGGGTCACTCATGAGGCAACCACTTTTAGTTTTACCGTATTTTACGCCCAAATATCTGCGCAGCCAAAGTATTAGGTATATTCTTTAATTCACCGGTTGAGCTACCGGTGCAACCGGTTAGCCAATTTTGCGTCCTTTAATTTCCGCTGGAACGACCGGTTGTACATCAACCTTGTCTCTATATTGGTGGTGGATAGAGGCGTATTTTGTAATTCACCGGTTGAGCTACCGGTGCAACCAAAATTTCCGTCTGAGCAACCGGTCGCTCAGACGACGGAAATTAAAAGAAGAAAAATTGGTTAAATGCTTGCACCATTGCGGTGGCTCAACCCAAGCTCAACCGGTGAATTAAAGAATACGCCTCATGACACCGGTGTCAACAGCATCCACCGACGTTCGGGCTCGGTTGATCGGGTTGATCCACAATATTCCAACCGCTACATTTTATATTTTTTTACATCTACAGGTTTGTGTGAAAAAATGGAAGAAGAAAAGATTGAAGTTATGCTACAGCATAGGAGCGGCTTCAAATTTAATGTTTTTATAACACAATTCGAAATAAACAGAGCATCTGAAGGCAAGTGATTTTATTTTGAATTATGCATATCTGAAAATTGCTTGGTTTTCTGGTTCTGAGTTCTTTTATTGATTCTCAGAACGCAAACTCTTCTGATAAATCCGTTTGAAGAAGTATTTTCTACATGTTCCAGATCAAGCTTTCCTAGAAGAGATTACTGACCGCTACTACAAGAAGTACAAAAAACAGGCCATGGATGATACATTCGAGAGCAATGAAAATAATAATAGCACCATACACTCACCGTCTGCGTCAGCTGTAAATGAAACTCACACTGGTATGTATTTATTTTCGGCAGGAAACATAAATAACGTGTATTGATTGCTTTGGTTGGCTAAAAAATCAAATTCTATTTAATACAATATCGAAATCACAAAATATGCTAGCAAACTCTTGAAATTTGTTAGTAATATGAATGATTGTTTTTACGTTGAAAGAATCTCAAAGTAATAAAGCAAACCTACATTGCTGGACTAGTGGTGCAGTGAAATTATTATTGGACTTGCGACTAGGAAAAGAGCCAGTCTGTAGAAAAATGAAACTGTGGAAACAAATAGCTGACGAAATGAATAAAATTGGCAAATACAATGTATGTGGAAATGACTGCTATGGAAAATATCGGAATTTGCTTCAAACCTACAGACAAAATAAAGAAAAAAGACTAAAAAGAACAGGTGAATCACAAATCAGGTGGGAATTCTTTGAAATAATGGATAGGGTGTTGGGTAATAAAGCCTCCAGTATGTTTCCACCGGGGTGTCCACACACTAGAACGGATACGACGAGAGGGCGATGACATGGACTCTCTATGACTTGATGGCGGTGAAGCGGAAGCTCTGAGGGAGTAAACCCTGGAAAAAAATCCTCCCAAGTCTAAGGTGTAACACCATCGTACCGAGGGGATGCATGGGACAGGGAGAGAAGTGTGTTCTAAGCGATGCCTGGCGGACTTGGCGACCCGCCAGGGAAAATAGCCTGCCACATGCGGGGCTCTGTGGTAGCGGAGTCTTCCCTAGCTACTCGTGGGAAGAAGATGGATAAATTACAAAAAACACAATCTGAAAGACAGGATGGAGAGGAGGAGGTTGACCCTTTCAAAAGAAAGGACAGTCTGAAAAGGACATCGCCTGGCAGGAACAGATCATCTTCGTGGTCTGATATACATAGCCAACAGAGAGGCTCAGAAGAGAGCAACCCTACAAAAGGGATATCAACAGGCTCGAAGGTAGGCTCTACGAGTTCAGTAAAGAGTGAAGGGATGTCAAACGCAACTGAAGAAGTACTCAGACGTAGAGAACCTTCCCAATCAGGAAAACGACGCAGAAGCGAAGAGGACAATGGTGAGGAAATTGAAAAGCTCATAGAGGTGGCAAAAACCGCTTCTACGTTAAGAGAGCTCATAAAGGTTACTCCAAACACGCATGGAGATATCAAGAAGGAGATTATGAGGCAGAACCAGACAATGGAGTCACTAAATCTTGGTCAATCAAGAAAGTACCGAGAGAGACCGGAAGGCACCGAGAAAGGAAGAGAGCCCAAAAAGCACAACAAGCGTTGGGGTGCAAGTAAATTTCGCGGATGTAAAGGCGGAAATGGAAGAAATAGAGTCTAAAGAGAGCAAAGCAATAATAGACAGCTTGGAGAAGAGCCAAAACTTTGAACAGTTTGCGAAATTGCTAGACAGGAAATGGCCAGAACGAGCCTTAAGGGCCGTCAAACATATACAAGGAGCTCCACCAGACATACCCGTAGAAGATGTCACAGCAATAATCGCGGACGCCATGCCGGCGAATATGAAAGGACTGCTAAAGGAAATAAGCGGAAGGCACCCGGAAATAGACGAAATCATGAACGGCGGTGTAACAGAAGGCCAGTTAGAGTACTTCGAGAAGATAACAAAGGTAAACTTCAGGAACAAAGACGAAGAGAAAAGCCAACTTGTTTACACCCTACCTGACGATATAGACAAAAATGGAATGAACGACATGAAGAAGGTACATAAACTCATAGAAGACAGCAAGAGAACGGTGCAGTCTAATGGTCGGAAAAAGATCACGTTTATACCGGATGATGGGATAAACAAATCATACGTGTACGTGTTTGACAAAACGGACATCGAGGTAAAGTTGCTAACTGCCAGAGGAAAAGACCGAGAGCACGGCAGACCTTGGCCAAGTAAAATACAAGCCCAATCTCAAGCGGTGATCGTTAAGAAAGGGGGCCGGCAGTACGCCGATCTCCTAAAGACAGTAAAGCAGAATATCGATTTAGGGAAAGACAGTAACAAAAGAAGACCGCAAGAGGAGACCTACTGCTGAATGTGGAAGGAGGTGGAGAGAAGGCTGACTCCCTTAAAAAAGAAATTGCCGCCCAGCTCAAGGATGTAGGTGTCTCGCTATCTAATAACGATGCCACTGTACACATCAGCGATATAGACCCTACAGTCACCGAGGAAGACATCGAGGAAGCAATTTACGAGATAACCCAAGCAGACAGAGCAGCACCAGTGAAGGTGTTGAATATGAGGCCCACCAGAGATGGAAATAGGATTGCGACTGTCAGGTTATCTAAGCATATGGCGAAGGTCCTAAGCAACAGAGGTAAGCTGATGATAGGCTGGGTGGCATGCAGAGTCCGCAAGAGAATAGCTGAAACCAGATGTTACAGATGCTTGGAATTCGGACACATACAAAAGGGATTCACAGGCAGGGACAGATCGGGAGAATGTTTGAGCTGCGGAAAAATGGGTCACAAAGCGAAAGACTGCCAAACGGACCCTTTCTGCCAAGAAGCCGGTCACCGCTCAGACCCAACCGGATGCCCTAAGTATAGGAGGATGTTGGAGGATTCACCAAAGAGGAGAGGCAGCTTCCGCAAGTAAACGTTAAGAAGAAAAAAATGCAAGGGACTGTCCAAGGTAATGCTACATACGGGTTTAAACAAAATCTACGGAAAAGTCTGAGAATACTACAAACGAATTTAGGCAGAGAAACAGCAGCCCACGATACAGCCTTTGCCACGGTAGCCGAGTATAACATAGGCCTACTATAGTGGGGGAACCCAATAAAACCATCATAAAAGACCAAAAATGGATCAGTGACAAAAGAGAGGACGTCGCAGTGTACTTTAGAAACATTGAAGTGACGGTCAAAGATATAGAGTACTACGACGGTTTTTTGGGCCTACACCTGGAGTTTTGCGCTATACACTGTTGCTACATATCTCCAAATATTCCCATAAATGAGTTTCAGGACCTGGTTGACAAGATAATATCGGGAATTGTCACATCAAGAATGGAATGCGTGCTCTTAGGAGAAATAAACGCAAAGAGCGTTGAGTGGGGATCCCCATTTACAGATAGTAGAGGAGCGTACTTTTCTGAATGCCTTGCTGCTGCAAACATGGTTGTGCATAACACCGGAGATAACTCCACTTTTGTTAGAGGTAGCACAGAATCCTATATAGATGTCACATGTTCGACACAGAAGATCGCAGAAAACATGAAGAAATGGAGCGTCCTTGATGAGGATAGCATGACAGACAACAAATATATATACTTTGAGGTAGATAAGCAGCTAAGCTTCAAAAAAGCTTAATCCTGGTGCTCAACCAAGTCGTGTAACTGGGAAGTCTTTAGACAGGTACTATCGTCCAAGCTCGTAGAATACCCAGAAAAGCCGCATACAGAGGAAAACTTTACTGCCACCATTAAAGAAGCTTACCATACTAGCCTCACTACTAATAACAATCATAGCGGAATGCCCTACTGGTGGAGCAACGATATCTCTCAACAGAGACAGAAGTGTCACAAGGCACGTAGAACCATCATGAGGCTCGTCAAACACAGGCACAGACATACGGAAGCGATCATCGAAGAAGCTAGCTCCTTGTATAAAAGCCACAAAAAAAAACGTTTCAGCAAATGATCAAGGAGTACAAGAAAAAATACTGGAACGAACTTTGTGACAGCATTAACGAGGACGTATGGGGAGCCGGATATCGGATTGTAATGAAAAAATTCCGATGTTTCGCGCCGTATAGCATGACAAAAGAACGAAAGCAGGAGATAGCAGAATAACTGTTCCCACCACACACAGTTAGGGGCTACAGTACGGTCAATAACGAAAACATGTTCACAGAAGAGGAATTCAAACAAGCCATAGGAAAACTCAAAATGGGTAGAGCCCCCGGTCTTGATGGTATACCCCCAGAAGCAATTAAAGAGGCTTCGAAACTGTCACCAACCTGGGTTTTGGGCCTTTTAAACCACCTTCTCACCACACAGAGGTTCCCGAAATCTTGAAAACGGGCCAAAAAACAGTTGTCATTACAAGAATATCTTTTTTTTTTAAAGAGATATGGACAGAAAAAAGTTTTAAAAGGGAAAGAAATAGAAGCTGTCCACAATTTAGCAGATACTATTAGAAGTTCTGCACATTCGAAATGAAGTGATGCATAGTTGTATAATTCTTAATAGTTTTATGTTCGAGTTAAATATTTTTTAGTTTTTCACATACCTGCCTCAGAGTTCCTGTTTATTTTGTTTTGTGATAGATATTAAGTTAAACAAGGGTTTATTTTAATAAAGATATATTGTGAATACTTTTTAATAATTTTTTTTCATTTACCGAGACTAAGGCATTTTTTTATACTCCAAGTGCCACGAAGGGCTAAGGCCTAAACACCCATAGGGTACCGTGGGGCTATAGGTGGATACATGGGTGAAGGGGGGGACGCCACACGGACTCTGGCAAGGGAACACGGGTGCATGCAGCATGCACACATTCTGGCGCCGCCTACGAGATCCGCCGGGACAATCTACGGACAATCACAACATCCATAGCCAAGAGAAAAATTTCTCTTGGGACGGGATTCGAACCCGCACAGCGCTCGGCGACTCATCAGGAGACCGAGGAGTACTACCGCTGCTGCCTGAATAAATAATAATTTATTTTATTTGTTGAGTTCCTCATTTCACCAGTACGCCCAGCAAAAGTTGGCTTGGCGGAAGAATGCTGTCAAAGAAATTGGCGAAGGATTTTGCAGATCACACAATATAAATACTGGGTAATCTGCAAAATCCTTCAAAAATTTTTGCATTGAATTTGTAGTAAAGATATTCCTTCAGGTACATATTAAATAATTATGTGTGTTGAATATTTTATTTCCATATATATGACATCGAAAATAGTTCCAAAAACCAATGTGCATTTTACAAAAATAAGTAATTGTACAAAATGAAGGGGAGAGGAGGGTAAGATGACGTATCGGCTAAGATGACGAATTAGGATGTTTCCTATAGTCGAAAATACTTACTGTGTTACTTGCATCTGATAATATAACTGGTATCTCTGACAAATCTGAAAGAATTATTCCAATAATTTTAAATTTAAGGAAGTTATGGCATTTTCTGTGTTGGCTGCAGTAGCCGATCGGCCTCGCGCGTCGAGGTTCGGTAGAGACGTCACATGACGGAACGTCGCGCGTCGGTAGGGAAGCGGTCGGATGACACGACGGCATATCGCATACATCCTTAGCGCTCAAGCTAACAAGAAGTTTTTTTACGAGCCGATTCCACAAATCTTTTGAAGGTGGCCATAATAATGGTAATGAATTTCTTCATAAACAATCCACTTTATGTCGGCACGGAAATACGTAAGTAAGTAAATAGTAAAGTTTATTCTATGCAACTCTGGCAACGTGAACCCATTTTTTCAATCCATTGCCTGCGACTATACCATATACTCTGGACTTATAAAATTGTTTTTAATTATCAACTTTACGTAGGACGCGTGGTGTCAGTTAATTTTATAAATAGACGAAAATGAAAACATGCTTTGCATGCATCAAATAATTAAGGATGACCCAAACTCCAGCGGATACGTTTGATAAATAATAAATTCAATATCGCGCAGTGACCAGAAAATCAACTGTTTGAACTGAAATTTAATCCAACGCCAATAAGACTTGATGGCCGTCCGGTGTGGACTCACAGCAATTTAATAATTCTTTCGTAACAATTCACGATGTTCATTTGTTAACCAGCAGTAGAATCAATGATTCGTCATTCATTTTTGGGTGTTGTCATTATAGGTCTGGAAGAGACACCTATGGAGACGAGGCGATCAGTTATGTGCAGTCAAAAAGAGAACGGGTTCTCTGTATTGTAAAAGCCAGGATTACGCCCGAACATATAGTTAAAAGTAATCCGTGTCATTGCAGTTTTGAATGCGACGAAAAGGAGGAAACAGTTATCAAGCTACAGTATATTCAGATAAGAGATAGACCGGACATAAACAAGACCACGTGATCATCGAACGCTGTAACATTCGGCAGGGACGTATTAAGAGTCACGCAGTACATATTTTAGATAGTAGATGCTGCTTTGCGTAACTTTGTAGTAAATTAGCACAATTCGATGTGTATACGATTGGTGATGGATATAGGATCATGTGGGGGTGGGGTAAGAAATATATAATGATGTAAATATACATAAGGGTTTCAAAATTTTCGCTTCGATTTCCAGCTTCGGATGCCGTCTGATGTTTGGTGAAATACAGTCGAATATAATCTCAAAATGGCGTTTAAATTAGCCTAAATTGAAAATAATCGTATAGCTCTTAAAATTGCTTTTATAATATTGATTAGTACATTTTTTGATTTCTAGGTAAATATGTAACCAAATTAAAACGTTCAAAACGTAAAAAAATGTGCATGGTTGAACATTGTCAGAAAGTAGATTCTTGAATAGGTTTTGCCAAAATGGGTTCAAAAATGTCAATAATTAATTAAAAAATACAGTAGCTTTATAATTACTTATAACTTACCGAATTTGATGAACGACATCTTTTATTGGAAAGATGAGCTTGATGAGCTTTCATCATCGCTACTGCCTGAAGCACCAACGTCAATAATGAATGGCTCGACTTGTTCCTCTAAAATATTGTCCAGTTCCCACATTCTCTTTTCAACTTTGTCTTTCACGTGCTTAATACAGTTTTCCCATTTTTGCGCTGTTATTAATTCTAGTGCTTCTTTGAAAAGTCCTTTGAGGTCACAAAATTTAAAAGTTGTATTGTGCTTAGCTATATAATTTTTAACCTCTGCCCATACGAGCTCAATGGGATTGAGCTCGCAATGGTATGGAGGTAAACGGAGCACAGTTTTATTTTGACTTGCTGCCATTTCGTCAATGGCGTATTTTTGATATTCCGCCTTGTGATCCTTGACAATTCTTAATAATTGTACTTTCAGCATTGCTTCTTCAAAGTTGATATTTTTCGAGCGGAGCCAATTTTGAACATCAACTTTCCTTGAAGGCGTTGTTGGGACCTTCTCCATTCTTCGAGAATGATAAGGCGCATTATCCAACACAATTACTGCGTTTTCCTCTAAGTTCGGTAAAATGTTTACTGGTCATTGGCTCAGAAAAGGTGTGATTTTTTTTGTATTGTCTTAACACATTAAACACTGATGCGCGACACACCCCAACTTTGTGAGAAACCTTCACAACAATTTCTTTGATGGTTGGTGCCTCGTTCTCCTCGCGCTCGATCTTATATATATTCAAAATGACCTCTTTCATTTCTGCACTCAGGTGTCTTTTTTTAGAGCGTTTCCTAGGTGGACTACAGGAGTTTACAACTTCATCGGCAGTATCTGTACTACTGGGCATTTTGCGCAAGCAGTTGATAACAATAACAATCAATAACAAGGTATAACAATAACAACGACAAACTCAACAACTTAATAAGATAACAAACGAAAACGTCCAAAGAAATATCAAATTGCAATGATGCCCAACGACATACGTTAACACGTCTGAACCTGAATGTGACTCTGCCTTGATACGACTGCTCTGCCGCTCGGCATAGTCATTTTATTGCGAATTGACCAATGAGGGCTCCTGTTTTACGTCGAGACGGCGGCGTTAGCGTGAAAATCACCCGAACCGTTTGTTTATATCCGGTCTATCTCTTATCTGAATATACTGTAGAATGCATACCGTGAACTTCCGTGAAGTGCTAATGGACAAATGCCAGATCATCTACTATTGGCAGTAATCTAAAATTGATAGAAACCTCTTAGATGATTACACATTAAGCCCACACTTGACCGACGCCTATGCATCGCCGCGCCGACACAAACATGGTTTGAACAGTGTTCCCCTACAGCCACAAAATGATCACTACGAGTATACAAATAAATACATTATCTCGAAATGAAAGCAATAATCAAATCTATTTCGGTTCTCCTTTAAACAATTTAGATTCTTTACCTTATCATGCGAGGCATACAGACTAAGACTAATAATAATTATTATTGCTACCATTTATATCATAGGTATTAGCTAATTAGCTGCTTAAATCAAAATGGGATTCACAACAAAACAACGTTGATTTTTCCGACAGCGGCAATTTATCGTCCCTATTCATTACCTTGCATCACTTCTTTCTAATTCTGCTGATATGCTAGTATTTGTACACCTAGGTACAATAAAATATTTGTAGGTTGAAGGTTTCACCCACTTTTTAGTCATTGTTAATAATAGGGGGAAGCGTGTGTGGCGCGGCGCGGCGGGCGCATCTCCTTGCAGTAGTGCTGGGCTGATAAGCTTCCGTCATGTGACGTCATCATTCACTAGCACGGTCCACCATACGATTCTCCAAATAATAAACTACTGACTAGCGTAACTTTTTTATTTTTCCCGATATTAAAAAAAAATTCAGCGCTATCATTTTGAAAAATAGGAAACTTCTTCATTGTTTATTTTCGGAAACTTTTACTAGATAGCGCCACGTACGTGAAATATATGACCCATTAGCATCACTTTTTACTCCCAAGTCTATGAAACCTGCATTCAGTCTTATGTGTGCGGTACGCTAATGACATTTAAGTATTGTGTATATGTCGTTGTAAAAATCGTGGTTTTGTGGTTCTGAATTAGGGATTTTTTCTACGCAGTAAGTATTTTCATAAAGGTTTAATTATTGTATGTGCAATGTCTATTAAGTTTTCTTAAAATACATGTGGGTTTTTGTTTATTGTTAAATTTATATAAAATGTTGGTGTCGGGTATGTTGACGAATCTTCCAAGCGGATAAGATGACGAGTTCGAGATGACGAGTTCGTCATCTTACCCGATCTCTGTAAATCAGTATTTGAAAATAGGGTTTACGATTTATTTGCAAGAAACAACATGTTAAAAATATATCAACGAAAGACAAATCGACAAAGTTAGTCTAAGGAAGCGATGATAGCTGCTATAGAAAAATTTACTTTACGGATGGATCGTGTGTAAATGGCACAGCAAAAAAATATAAACTTCCAGAAGCTACATTGCGAGGCTATGCTAAGAAATATTCTGAGGAGGTAACTAAATATTTAATAACGTTATTGTTTATATTATAATTGTTATTATTTTTATGCAATATTAGATAACTTTTTTGTATGCTTAAAAATTATTTTTAGAATATGTCAGTTAGTGCCGAAAGATTTAGATTCACATTTACAAATGAGCAAATGGAAAATCTAAGGCAATATGTAGAAGAAGTAAATAAAAGAGCATTTGGTATAACTCGAGAACAGTTTGCAAGAATGCTCTATGATTATGCCGAAACGCTTAGGATTTCTCACCGCTTTAACAATATTACTAAGAAGGCAGGAAAATACTTTATTCAAGACTTTATGAAAAAATTTGGTTTTCATTAAGAAAACCCGAATCTACTTCCGCAGCGAGATTGCAAACTTTTAATAGAACAAGTGTCGAAGCATTTTTTACTTTATATCAAGAAGTGTTGGCCAAAACAAATTACGCTCCTCATCAAATCTTTAATATAGATAAGACCGGCTGTCCTACTGTGCCAAATGTCAGTGTGGCATGTTGTTTTAGTGCTGTGGGCCAATATATTCCTCCATTCTTTATTTTCCCGAGAGTAAGAATGCAACATTTCTTAAATGGTGCACCTACGGGATCCTCAGGCGCATGTAATGAATCAGGGTGGATGAACGGGGACACCTTTCTTTTGTGGTTACAACAATTTATAAAAAATGTGAGGCCTTCCAAGTACAATCCTATTTTACTTTTAATGGACAACCATTCGTCGCACGTAACTTTACCGGCAGTAACTTTATGTCGAAAAAAACTTTATTGATATTTTGGGTTTTCCTCCTCATACAAGTCATCGTATGCAACCGTTGGATGTCTTTTTACGGACCCTTTAAAATCGCTTATAGCCGGGCATGCAATGATTATTTAATGGAACATCCAGGTCAAGTCATTACAATTAAAGATGTGGCAGGGATTTTCAGTGTGGCTTACAATAAGGTTGCCACAATAAAAAATGCTGTTCAAGGTTTTAAAGCAACTGGTTTAGTCCCACTAAATTCTCAAATTTTTGATGTTTCTGACTATGACCCTTCAATGACAACAGATAAACCATTAAAAGTGTCAAAGGATCTTAATAGAGAAAACCCCTCTCCTGAAAATGATATGTCAATACAAACTACAGCTACTACTGAATTAAACCCAAGTGATACTAATGCTTCTTTAGTACTTGTCAACTCTGAAGTTATAGCAGGACCATCTAAAAAAAGTTCACTTGCTACCCTCGAACCTACACCTGGACCTTCTAAAACATTATTTGGCTTGCCTCAACTCCCTGTTGCTATTCCCACGACAAAAAAACCAAGAAAGAAATTGCCGTCATTGTATATAACTAGTACTGCTGTTAGGGATGCCTTGGAAAGTAAAGAAGCTGAGAAAAAAATTAAAGGGGAGAAGAAAAAAGAAAAGCTGAAAAAGCTAGAAGAAATGCTAATAAACCGAAAAAGATGGCCACACAAAAGAAAAAACAGCAGAAACATGTTAGACAAATAAAGTTTCATAATGACAGTGTGTCTTCAGATTCCTCCATATCAATAGATTATATGGAAAGTGATGACATCGATTACGTCGGAGATACAGAAGAAGTTTGTTTAATTAGCAGTGAATCAGGCAAAGATGAACTTTGATATGCTCCTCTTGCAGTAAATGGGTGCATGCCGCCTGTCATATGTTTGTGACTGTTGTCAAGTTTAATAAAAATATAATTAATTTTTAAATATAATTTTTTTTTCGTCATCTTACCCTCCCAATATTGTCATCTTACCCGCCTACGAGGGCAAGATAACGAACTTGATATCCAATTTGTAAGGTAAAAAATTAAATAGAAAATCTCAAAATATTTAAGTATTTGATAATTCTCTTTATTTCTTAATGATTCAAGTTAATGTTAAAATTGAGCACAAGATACCAAATTGAAATTGCATTGAGAAACATGTATAATAAGCTTACTATCGCCATCTTACCCCTCTTTCCCCTATAAGTATAAATATGACTAATGTATCAAAATTTATCTGAGGGTAATCATACAGAAATCTATGTCATTTGAAGCATGATGTGCACCTTTGATAGCTATATGGCTACCATCTATACACCCGATCACATCGGGAAAATAATTTTGGCCACGCAAAGTATGAAATCTTCCACAGTTTTAACTATGTCTGCACCTGTTGGCCACTTGATATATTTATCTTGGAGAAGACATATTAATTTGCACGTTCTCATAAAAATGGTGTGAGCATTCCCAGGACTCACTCCAAATCTAACGGCGATACTTCGAAAGCACTCTTGATTAGCCAAAGTCCAAAGGCTTAATAGAACACAGGTTAACAGCTTACTAGCTGGCCTCGCAACAGTGTGAATCTCCTTTTTGGTTTCCAATCCTGAAAATAAACGTATGACAAAATTCTCGATTTGTTAAAATAGATCGAGTATTGAAGATAAAGGCTAACACTTACCTCAACTTGGATCCTTGTGAGCCGAAAATGTGATTTAAAGTCACTCAAACTTTAACTGTTGACTACTGTATCTACATACATACTGTTCAATTTTGGTATGAGTTGCTCTTTCTCTCCACTGGATAAGTTCTTCATCCGAATCATCACTCGACTCGCTTAACAGACGTTCCACCACAATACCAACTGATGCGTAAATTGCCATAATGATTTAAAATGATAGGGAGTTCAAACTAATAAGCGTCCATTCACGATAAAACAAAGGTTAGGTTTTGTCATATGACAGCAACCTGAAGGCTAAAAATGCGTCTATTTATTCAAGGGAACCGGTTGCTGACGTCACCACATGAGCTGTCAACCATAAGTTCACCGGATCCATCAGTGATGGAATCAATCGATGAATTAAAGAATATACCTATTATTTATTTGTCACTGTACAGTACTTCATCATTGTGCCTGTTCCCAGATGGATGAAGTCGGTTTTAGCAGAGAGTGTCACAATTGACAGCCCACAGTACATGAAATGCGTCTACCTCTCCCCGCCTGCTAAATTATAGTAGTCTCAGGCCCGCGGCGGGCTGCAGTACGCCTTCTGAGATACGTCGCAAATATCTTATGCAAACAATAGCTTTGCTCAAGCGGCATTTGAGGCGAACCAAGTCTCCACACCATAAACATAACTATGTTATTACGTAATTTACTTATTACCATGTAATGAATGGTAATTTTTTAACCAGGTACGTCATATTACCTGTTGCTAAAAGCCTGAACTTGAGTTTGAGTGCACAACAACCTATCAACAACAACAAAAATTCACATTATCGTATGGACCCTAGATGAGACAAAGAAGGATGTCTATAGACCATCTATAGATCGTGTCTTGAGACCGTCTCCAGACTGCCAATAGACAAATTGCGCAACGGGGTCTACTAGTGTGTACTAAGCTTAAGGATTAATACTCGTGAACAACTCGTTAAACAAATCAAGTAATTGGAGTAAATACTGACACAATCAAGCACTGCTATTATATCAGCAGGTGATAAAAATATCAATAGGTATAGTCCATTATTTTTTTAAATTCAATATGTGTTACAGTTATTCTTCAGACGTTCGTTGTCGAACTTAGATTTACGGCATAGTTGTTGTTTTCTCAGTTTTCGAATCGGTGTTGATCGCATGTAAAAATGTTGGAAATCTTTGGAGAAAACTATATATGTTAGATCGAAACAAGAACATGAATATACGGCTGTACATATTCACGTGTAGTGCAGAAGCTCTGTGACTTAAACGAATTCCAATATAGCAACATAAATAGAAACATACGCGGGAAGAAATGCGGGACGTGTGGTATTGACTTTGAGCATCGATCAACGCATTTTCTGGACAGGCTACAGGCGCACCGCTAAGCAAATCTCATAAATGTATATTTCCAACGTAGGCGTTTATCTAACTATAGTCTAATCATATTAGCAAATTTTCCCGAAATAATTGAAAAGTCCGGTTTTACTGGTGCAAAATGTTAAACTGCGCATTTTAAACATGGACGCATAAAATGGTTACACCAATTTTTGTGGGAAAACCTTTTAGTTGACAACAAAGAATGAAAAAAGTGTTTTTTGGGATTCCGTCAAAAGTGTGGGCAGGAACGAAAAAACATTTTATGTAAGATTTTTAGATATTTATGAGATCTACAGAATGAGAGCACACCTAAAAAGATCCGACTAAAATGTTATGGCCGAAAAACCAGGCAAAATGCAGGCTTGGGACTTGTTGGTAATGCGACGATAATTTTACGCAACTACTTGAAATTCTTCAAATCCGCAGGATTCATACTTCTGATTAACAACAGCAAAATTGGAGTATAATAATGGTAAAGTATTTTTTTGAGAATTTCTAATTGTTTATCCCAAAACACCTGTTTTTCGGACGTCACTACTAGTTTATTGAGCTATATACAGGATTAGTCCAAAGAGCATTTTACAGCAAAATACACTAATTTACCTTGCAATTACAAACCACTCCGAAAGATAAATGTTATTTTTATGCGAAAAACAAATGTTACGTTGTTTTCTTCTAAGCGAATTCAAACATTTCATATTTGAGAGTAATTGAGCAAATGCGCTACGGTATTCGAAATGCATACGTTATTATACACATTTTAAAACAAAGCGGATGTATCTATCATCTTTTGTTGCGAGTGACTCACAAATACGAAATGTTTAAATTATTATAGAAGACCCATCCTTTATATTTTTGCTATAAAATTCCCTTTGAGCTAACCCATGTATATTGCTCAAAAAAACTAGTAGGTAGTGATGGCCGGAAAACAGATGTCTTGGGATAAACAATTAGAAATTCTCACAAACTACTTGACCAATTTACTCCAATTTTGTTGTGGTTATTTAGAAGGTCCAATCTTACGAATTTGAAGAATTTCAAATATCTGGGAGAAACCGTCGTCGCATTACCAACACGAGCCAGGACCTGGAGTTTGCCTCGGTTTTCGGCGATAACTTTTTTGCTATTAGTCGGATCTTTTATGTGTGGTCTCATTTTGTAGCTGTGATAAATACTTAAAAATCTTATAAGGAGAATTTTTTCGTCCCTGTCAATTATTTAGATTGAATCCCAAAAAACACGTTTTACTCATTCTTTGTTGTCGAATAAAAAGTTTTCCCACAAAAATTGGTATACCCATTTTATGCGTCCATGTTTTGAATACCCCCTTGAGCAACTTGCAGCAATAAAACCAGACTTAAGAATTATTTTGCAAACCAGGGGTATTTTTGTGTAATATGATTAGACTAATAGTGCTTCGCTGCAACACCAACCCCGAACAAAATCAGTCAAGCTTTACACACTTTACTATTGAACAACAAACAGAACATAAATCACTTTTTACGTGCAATCTGTATAGCTAATACATTGCTTAGACTTAGACTTGTCACAAGTCTCAATACTCGTATATACGTATAAATCGTAAGAATTGTGCTGTAAACGTAAGTGATGTCGAAGAGGGACAGCGTTTGGAATTCCAAAGGATACCAAAAATCGCAATGCTCAGTTCTTATAGCTATAACTTATAGTTAGTATGCCTCTGTCGCCATGATGTGTCAGAAAGCAAGTGATTACAAAAGCAAGTGTCAGACGTCTGGAAGGGGAGGGTCGCGCCCCCCTCTAAATCCGCCACTGGTTGCTTTGGATAATATCCGAGTAGCGTTGCTATGGTTTTTAACAATAACAAATGAGGATGGCCACAAAACTAATAAACGGAAATAACTATAAAAACTGTTCACATTTCTTTTTCCTCAACGTATGCCAGAAATGGTATTAACTTTGTGAACACATGAGGGGCACAATTTACCCTAAACGGCACAGAATTGTATTGGAAAAGCTGTCCCTTGAATATGAATCTGAAATATATTCGATGACTCTGCATATTACAAATCCAGATTCGTTAAGTATCTACGCAAAAGTCTTACTTGTATTCCAGTTCAATAGATGAGAGCGTGGCAACCACTTTTAGTCTTTCCCTACTTTACGCCCAAATATCTGTACAGCCAAAGTATTTACAAATATTTGTCACTGTAAAGTAACTTTATCACGGTGCCTCTGTTCCCGGATGGATAAAGTCTGTTTCAGCAGAGAGTGGTCTAGGTGTGTCACAATTGACATCCCACGGTACCTGAAACGCGTCTATCTCTGTGCCGACTAAATTATAGTAGGCTCAGACCCGCGGCGGGCTGGAGCGCGTTTTCTGAAACACCTTACAACTCTCTTATGCCAAACAATAGCTTTGCTTAAACATAACTATGTTAAGTATTACGTTATTTGCTTGTAACCATGTAACGTATGGTAATTTTTGAACATATGTACGTCATATTACCTGTTGTTAAAAACACTAACTTGAGTTGTTCCAATGGAAACATCTACGTTATGTATTCTAAATATTTACTTCGACGAGGACTTCACATAATTAAGATCGAACATCACTTACAGGTAAGTTCGTTTGATTATTAATTTTTCCTTCCATCGAACGCA